AAAAAAAAAAACACTCGAGGCAAAAAAGCAAAAGTAGACGGAGTTAGTAAAAATTTAAAATATCCCCTTCTCAATGAAGCAAAGTGGTCACGGACTGGTCCGAGGACTCCGGTTTGAGGTGAGCCGTGTTGCATGAAATACCCTCGAAATCCCTCAAAATGTCGTAAGAATTGCTTATCTGAAGATCCATAAGCATCTGGCGAAGGTCGGAAGTTTCCTCCTTCAGCCTCGTGTTTTCTTGAACAACCCTTTCGTGACTCTCGGACATATGGTTTAATTTGTCTATAAGGTTATGATTTTCGGTCCTGAGGCGAACAACTTGGGACCAAAGCTCATCTAGATGCCTCTGTTTTCTCATTCTTGATCTCCGGGCAGATTCCCTGTTGGAAATCATTCTCCTTTGCTTTCTTTCGTCTATAATGCTGAGCTGGTGATCGTCGGCTTCATCGGAGGTCGAGTTGCTGCTTATGTAAGTATTGTTAGTGCTGAACTCGTGGGGCCCGGGAATTAAGGCCTGGTGATATGGAAGGCTGTTTGGGAACGAGTTGTTTTGGATTATGTTAAAGTTGGGTGGGAAGATTGTGGGGATTTGGTGGGTGAAGTAGTTCATTTCTTGGATTTCTGATGGAATCATGGATGGTTTTAGTTGAAGATATTGTTTATACTAAACTTGTTTATCTTTTTATTTTTCGTTTTACAGGCAGTGAATGGGAAATGCATGAAGAGGAGGGTATTTATAGAGGAGGGCTTATGTGATGGGTTGATGAGGAACAGTTTCAGGGGCTTACATAAGCGCACTTGAGACATCTTTTTGAGGGGAAAAAAAAAAGCAGATAAAATGGATTGGTGGTGATGTATGCAATTGGATGTAATGATTGGAGGCACAGTTCTTATTAAACATGTAAGTTTTCTTTTTTTCTTGCCTTTCTATTATATATTAATAATACGATTGAATTGGATTCACTAGATGTTCTGGGGATGTATCATGTTATATTCTCCATGTTAACCGTGTTCTGTGATGATGACGGGGACCATGCATGTCTTGAGATCGTGATCAATTTGGTTCGAAATAATTACTTTATTTACCTCTTATTATTTCATTTGTGAGTATGTGATTGTGTTTGAATACGAGTTTGGGCTAGTCTTGTATGAAACACTTGCAAGAGGCTAAGAGTATGTGGTCATAGGGATAGGGATGCAATTATTTTAACGTGGACTATGTTGTTCCGTAGGGAAGGTAAAAAAAATGGGGAGAGGTAAAGAAAAAAGAAAAAAAATGAGCATATTTTGTTATTGTAAGTCAATTTTAGGAGGGGTCATCTTTTGATGAAAGCTAGGCAATTCAAGAATGTTATAAATCTCTCTTGGCCAATATGGTATCTCCCATTGATGACGAAATCTAGGTCAATTGTAAAGTTGAACAATTTTTTAGAAAGATATGGAATAATTCAGATGTCAATATAAATAAATAATTTGATGAGTCAATCAGCACTGAGCTTTAGGATTAGAAGGGACCCATATTAAAATTCTTCAGGTCCTTATCAGTTACATCAAATACCTAAACTCGTGCTTTACATTCTTTCTATATTTCTGCATTGTGCTGATGTATTGATAGTGGGAGAGAAAAGGAGGAAGCGTTTTAGAGCTAAAGTGCTTAACAAGGCAAAGAAAATTTAAAATGTATAATCATTTTTTTGTAAGTTTGTATGGGGTACAGTGCTATGTGAACTACCTTTCTTGCAAGTAATTTAAAATAGTTGACTTGTATCTTATGTGCTACATATCTGGTAAACTCTTTGCTGGTGGGCTGCAACTGTAATTTAAAGCAAAGTCTTAAAGTTTTTTCATTCTAGAGTAGACAACATTAGCTCTTATAGATTTGGATAGGGTAAGGACAGTTTGGTCTTTTCAGCAGCCAAATGGCCTTAGAAGAATGTGTAGTGTACCTCAACATTCTTTCATGCTCCCACCTTATGTTTTCGGCCAACATTATATTGGCTGTCCCTTCATCTTCTGCTGAATGGCAAGTGGGAATATGTAAATTTAGACTCACCAACTTTTGGTATCAACTCAGAGGGTGTTCTCGCTCGAGGAGATGGAGAAAAATGAAAAATAGGAAAAAATAAAAAAAGGAAATATGGAGGAAACTAGATTAGATTAGATCGAGGGAGCTTATAAGGTGTTAATTATGGATTTGCCCAAAATTACCAAGTGAGTAAAAATTTAAGATAAATAATAAAAGAAAAATAAAAAGGTGCAGTCTTCTACTTTTTCTTGAAATAGCTTAAAAGGTCCCAAACATCTCTTCTCAGGAACTTGCATTTTAAATTCAAAAAAAATAAAAATAAATGAAAATGCTTAAGAGCTTGTGAATTAAGATCTTTGTGACAATTCATGCAATGTAATTAATAGATTCGTGCAGAATTCATCGGTTCTATAAACAGTAGTTAACATAGTCGAGGTGAGAATTGACTTGCAACGGCTTGTTAGTTGATCCATAGCCATCCAAATTGTTGTTGTGATGGTTCTCTAGTTTATGAACTGTAGCTCTACTTTTTCTATAGAATACTGTTTGTTATGTATGTGATGGTTGGCAGAAATTCCACCGGGCAATAGAACCACACAACCCTGCTGCTTTTCTATGACATAATATGCTTTTTTCTGATAACAAAATGTATACTTTTTTCCCGAGTTACAATTGTTCCTCTAATTGATAGGTATTATTTGATTATGATCCTCATACGCACTTATACGGCATTTGTTCTCATATTGTTGTTGCCCTAAACGTCTCACGTGAGGATAAAAATTTCTACTGAAGTAGATAGAATCTTCTCTAAGGTGGTCTGCTTGTGTCTTTTCCTTCTTAATTCTTATATTCAAGTTGCTATCCGATAAAAGAAAATATGCTGCTCTGTTTGTGTCTTTTCCATCTTAATTCTTATATTCAAGTTGCTATCTGATAAAAGAAAATATGCTGCTGATGATATTATATGCCTAATTTATCTGATTTGAGGGGCTGAAAAAATAGGTGGCTGGTACAGTTTGATACCGTAGTAAAGTTGATGAAATGTACAATTTACCAAATCTCTCTCTCTCTCTCTCTCTCTCTCTCTCTCTCTCTCTCTCTCGTAGCTCATGGAAAAAATAGCCCACTTAAGCTTGTTTATTTATTACAAAATGTTCGTCTTTTCAAGCCGCCTAGTATCCTCTAAGGCTCCAAGTAGCATTAGGATAACGCTAATTGCTTTACAAGTAACTCTGTTGGAGAAGTTCCTCGAGGAGCCTAACTACAAACTCTTATACATTTTTTTCTTAAATATCGTACGCGCGCCCGGCCATAATGGCAAATTTTGCACTGTTATTGTCTCACATGAAACATGGTTGATTATATTTATGGCTACCAGTAAGATTATACTTTTTTTTTTTTTTTTTTAATTTCATAAAATAAATAAGTCTTGGACAAACTCAGAGGTAGCAACTTGCAAACGCATAAAGTTTTTTTCTATCTTTTTTATATTTTTTTGTTTTCATTTCCCTCTGTTGCACTTGCTTGTGAAAAATTGGTGATGGTGTATGATATTCTGTGATCACTAGTTAATATTATTTTAATGGTGGGTTTTTTTGGTTTAGGTGATTCCCCACTATGTGAATTTTTTCTTAATTAAGCAAAAGTAGATGAGATGGAGAACAAGTTCCATGAGAGTTGTGGAGATGAACTTAACAAGGAATATTGGGAAAAATTCTTTCAAGGGAAAGGATAAGTGAAAGTACATTGTTAAAAATATTGCAATTGGATAACAGTGGCCCAGTGGGATGTTATCTCCATTCTTGATGCATTTGTATTTTGTAATATAT